TATCCATTTTTAGTACACTAAAATGAACGAATGCAAAATGCACTTATGTATGACAAAGTAACTTCCTCTTCTCACCAAAATAAGCTTAAAATCCTAATTTATTGTCTTAATCAGTTTTAAGTAATTAAAATCAGACATTCAGATCATATTAAGGAAAATAAAACTGCTTTAAGGGACCTGCTGACGCCAGCTGGGAACCATCTTAAAATTTTGGGAAAATATAGCGTTATCGGAATCATTTTGCACACTGTAGTGTAGCATTAAGAAAAAGAAAGTAGACGATATATAACATTAAGTAAAAGAAAAGATCTTTCAAGGATTCCTTTTCTAAGATCATCCATCTCTTCCAAAAAACAAAACGTTCTAACCAACTTAATTTAACTCAATGTTATTAGTTAAATTCTCTTGCAAATATCGTTATGTAACAGCACGTATAATTTAGTTTTGCATTTCAAATGAAGTTAATTCTTCTTTTATTTATAGAATATCCTTTTTTCCTTTTCCCCCTTGGATACTGATTCGGTTTTTGTAACTAAGTGAACTTATTATCCAAATCGAACTACTTGAAAACACAGATAAGTTTTTAATAGCATTTCTGTGTGAATTTTAACACGGATTATTCCTTTTTACTTTTTTTTAAATTATTGCGCTATTAACCGTGATTTGGAATTAACGTAAATATCTTCTCCGGTATTAGTGGCAAATCGAGAGATGAATGCATAATTAATTTATGTATGAGATCTTTAAGGAATTTTTTTGAAAAACGTACGAGCAAGCAAGTAGAAGCCGATGTGGATAGGACGAAGGTAACCATCTCTACAGAATATATTCTTTTAAAATTTTCAAAACTGACTATTATAACATAGTACTATTTAGTTTATTAGCATTATTTTGTTGATACTAAAACTTGAAATTTGAATTAATTGAAAACAGAACAATTCACAGAATATTTTTTCATAGTCATATAATCTAACAGCAAATTATCTCTTCAAATTCTAAACAATCCCATCTAACAATTAAAACAGGATAGGATAAAAATTTTCCCTCCAAACATGGTCATCAAACCCATATCATATTTCTTCAAACTCATGTCTTAAAGCAGGAAATCATTGTATAAACTTCGCTTTAACAATACCACTCAAGATCTGACGAAAATAGACAGATATTATTGCAGAAACTAGAAGTTATTCTTTGAATGAAAAGGAAGGGAGGAATCAATCTGCGGGCCCAGCAACAAATTATACTAGGGAACAAGTCGGCAAAACGAATGAATAAAAAGTAGATTCAAGGAATGAATTGTATACTTTGTTGGATCAAAAACTGAATGTCTTCATATTTCATCCAATGGCGTTTTTTTAATAGATTTTTGTTTTTCTGTAAAATTATGTCCTTTCCTTTTGTATTCAATACATTGTAATTATTTAAAGAAATAATTGTAACCAATTTATATTCAAAATACACTGTGCATCTATCAAAGTTTTGGGAATGTTTTCCGAGTGGGTAACAAGGTCTATAAACTTGCCAAACGATATCGACAGCATTAATTACTATGTCGCAAAGCAGGACAAATAGCATTGGAAACATTTTAAACGTTGTGCGTGGAGTGTTATGCAGTATGTGGATATCAATAAAACACGATCCAATGTTTTTTCATTGGTACGGATGAATTCATGCTGGAAACAAAAAAACGTTGAGGATGAATCCAGGAAAGCTTCGACTGGATGAGAACATCAAGAATGCTGAAAAATTGTCATCTATCTCTTCGAATGATACTTGATGAGTTAAGTAATAAAGACGTTGCTCATAAAACTGCATGAACAACCTTGAAAACATTTTCCCTTCCACACTAATCGCAAAGCAGAAAGATCACTGAATTTCTGCATGTCATGATTTGATCCAAATGAAAGACATTAAAATTCCCCACCGATTTTTTCTTATGATCCTGAAACAAAATAGAAGTCATCTGCTTGGAAAAGAGTAGGTTTACACCAGACACTGAAATTTTAGTTCCGGAAATCTCGAGTAAAGACCATATTGACGACCGTTTTTGATTGGAAAGAGATAATTATGGAAGTACAGTCAAAAGTCGTTAATTCGGACACCCATAATCCGGAATGATCTATAATCCGGACCTCAAAGCTAAAAACTTTCTGCGCATGCTCCGCGTTGACACATGCGCATAGGCGTTTACGCGTGCGCGTAAGACCTCTTACGACTGCGCATTTGCGTGTGCGCAAGCGCAGAATACGTTTTCGCGTGCACGTTTTATCTATAACGGACGGTATAAGCTAAAATTATCTAATTATCTATTTCAGTTAATGTTGATGATTACGTTGTTCCTTAATTTTCGAATTGGATCCGGCTTATTATTTTTTGTAGACTGTAAGAGCAATACTATAAAAGTAAACTTGAACTTTTGATTACGTCAAATAGAATTTCCGATTCTGGAGCTCCCAAAGGATCGTACAAAACGAAAGTATGTTTCGATGTCCATCAAACAAAAAGTGGAATTGCTGCAAAAAATGGATAAAGACATGAAGAATGTGACAGAGAGGTTAGTGAAAACGAAAAAATTTCGATTGACTAGTTAGTCGGTATTCTCGGCACAGCAATTAACGGGACTGGAGCAGCGGAACTTTGTAACTGAACAAAAAATTATGTCTGTTTATAGAATTAAAGAGAAAGTATTATCACATAGAACGAAGCAACTTAAACAACTTACATTGAAAGAATGTTTAATAAAGTAAACAAATAAATATTAAGCTTTTTTTTGTAAATTTTGATACCCTTTAAATCATAATTGTTCTTTATCTCATAAATTACGGTTTCATATTTTTAAATTTTAGAATTTCTGCATGCCATCTTACGCGATTTAAACTGATGATCTTAACTAATGAAAAAAAAATCCGCCGAATCGTCCGTCCCCCCGACGTCCGGATTAACGACTTTTGACTGTAGTTGTTTCTGAGCGCTATATGGGGAATTCAACGTTTATCAAGATGTAATGGACAGACTTCTCAGCGCATTACGTTTGAAAACGTTTACTTGAATAACTGAAATTTCTCTTACATGTCAATTCACTGCCACAGAATTTCATTTTCGTCAAGTAGTTTCTAGCAAAGAAAAGAATAACAATTCTCAACCGCCTCTCTTATTCATAGATTTAGCCCCTTCAAATTACTTCCTCTTCCTCTTAGTTTTACCTCAAAGCTCATTATTTTATTAGCACTAAAAAGATTCAGAAAACATTAAATCAATAATTTAAAGAGGGTTCCAAAACATGAGTTCTGTGAAGGTTTGGTTTACTAAGATTACAGCAAAGCACAGAGCTATCTGCCAAAAGGGAGGGATGACTTCATGGACTTTCTAAAGGAAACTATCTCGCATAAATGTTACACTTGGGGAAAATCACGAAAACGTCCACGCAGCCAGCTCATTCGTCTGGAATCGAACCCAGATCAGAACTACCAGTGTTCGAGTGAACTACAAGTTGAAAGCTTAAAAAAATTGCTTAAGCTGGAAATCTTACACCTAGTGTCTCACTTTCATTGCACTGATGACAATGATATAATGATAAGAGCAGCATTTACTTGCTGCTTTACGGTTAAATTCAAATTTTATCGAAGAAAAAGAAATTTTAATGGGAGAAAAAAAAAGAAGATAAAAAAAATATGAAAAAGAAAGGCGACTAAAAACTGAATAGTTACATTTTAATGTATGTTAACATAAACAGGAAGTATTATATCATGGTGAAATTTAGCTTACTTTTGTTTATTTTGTTTATTTATTTATTTATTTATTTTATGTACTCTGTAATTAGTTAAGCATCCAATCTTCAGAAAATCCTATCCTTGCAGCTTCCGTAAAGATTATTTTTTAACTCTTAATGAAAAAGAAATGAACAAAACTAATATACTAAAAACAGAATTCTTAACACCTGCTTACAAACAAAAGATTACTAAACACAGAATACATTGAAAACAAGAATTAATTTTTAAAAGTCTAGGAAAAGTTTATGATTAAAGATCTGTACGAAAAGAAATAAAACATTATGGTGGTCAATTACATTTCTTGTTTCCTGAATTCTAACACTTTCGATTCTTTAAGTTCTCTGTAAAGTCATTAGGTGTTTTTAAGAGGACACGTGAAAAATATGTAGCAGTTCCCTCGCCGGAACTCGGATCCTGGACCTCTCGAATACATGTCGAATATGCTTCCAATTACACCACGAAAGAATGTGGAAAGGAGAGAGAAAATACATTATATATTCCCCTTTTTAAAGGGCGATTGGGGATTAGTGGACCCAATCATCAAATTCTAGAGGTGAAGAATTGTCGCCCACCACCTTTTTTTAGTTTGGGTGCCAATTGCAGGGTCATTACTTTTTGGGGGTGTGGGGGGGGGCAGGAGACGTGAAAAATGTGCAATGTGCTCGTCGAGACTCGAATCCTGGACCTCTCGAATATGCGTCAAGTGTGTTTCCAATTACATTGCGAAGGCTTGCGAGTTGGAGGGAGAAAATACCTTATATGTTTATAAAACTTCACTCAGAACTATTGTTATTCTTCGAAAACTTGAAAAACAAAAGGAAACAGAAGAATAATTAATAATGTAATATCATAATAATTAATATAAAATTTGATAATTTTATAAAATGTTCTATAAAATTATAACTTATCAAAATAAAATTCTACATATTCTATTCTACCGTAAAATTCTATAAAACCAAAACTGTTCTTTAATGTTGCTTCTTATTTATTGTTTTTATTACATTCGATATCATTTCTTTTTCAATTCATGAGAAAAGAAATATACGTAATTTTCTTTAATAGAAGGAAATATCGTATTGATATCTTCATTATTACTGCTATTTTTTCATTCCGTTTTTGATGTTTGACAGCACAATTTGAGCCTCTTTTAACAAGGCGAATGAATTTTCGTTTGAATAGGTTGAAATTACACATAAAAGACAAGAATAAAACTGTTTCATTTCTTTGCAGGTGGCAACAGTGCTGGCAAATATGGCAGCGAAAGAAGAATATCGAGATTCTCTCTCGTCCGGAGGAAGTCTGGTGTTACTGCTGTGTTTCCTGCAGCTGCGGCCCTCAGTGGGCCACGGGGCCCCGCAGCTGGCGGCCTGCGAGAGAATTCAGCAGAAGGCCGCTATCGCTCTCGCTAGGCTATGCTCCAATCCAAACACATCGAACATCGTCGCGGAGATGCAAGGTAAAAATAGTGGCATCTGGTGAAGAGCAAAGCTAAATTAAAGATAATAAATCTGATTTTTTGATAACTAAAAATACATAAAACACTCTTGGTCTGGAAGGAAAAGAATATATATATATATATCTGCGAACAACCAAATTCAGGTTTTGAAAGAATAATTTCGTATTCTTCTAACGTAGGCTTTTCTTCTATTCAATGAATTCTGATTCAGTTAAAATAACTAACTAAATAAATAAAACTATAAAGGTCACTGGTTGCAAGACCCAGATCTTTTCTTTTCAGAGGAGAAATATGATAACATATGCAAAATTATTATTAATACTTTTTTCTAAAAAGTGATATAATGAGAGCTAGTTCAGATCTGATTTTCTTATATAACCTTAAACTACACAATTTGCCTTGGAGTATTATCGTAAATAATTATGCGTGCGTTGTGTATTATACCCTAGTAATGCTACTTTGTTACATTTAAAGGCAGAGTAGAGATAACTGTAAGAATTTAAAATCTTCATAACTATAAAATAAGATGTCTCAGAACCCATTCGCTAAGTGGATAAAATTGCAGAATACTGGCAGTTGATTCCAGATTCTATTTTATATACCCATTAAACCGAATGGGCTGGTTGAGTAAAATTTCCCGCATATGTAATATGAAAATGAAACAGTGTCCCTTAGAATGTCCTCCATGAAGACATGTTTTCTCTTAAAGACAATCCTTTTGAGCTTTGTTGTAATGAACTAAGCCATCTAAATTACGCCTTCAAAAACTGATATACAGCCAGAGAGAAATATGCTATCACAAAGTTTTCTTCTAGTTTGGTTAGGTTAAGTCATTTTGAATATGGCATAATAAGCACATGAGGCCTATCTGTCTATGGGAAGAAATGCCTTCGTGGAGTACTTTCTAACAGAACTGGCTCTTATTTTTGTTACACATGGCAAAAAAACACGAAAACCAACCATGCAGCAAGCCCTTCGATTAGATTAGATTTACCAGTATTTAGCGGTCTTTAACCGTTTGGCCACTAGTGATACTTAATTCTGAAGGAATCATGAGAAATTTGTTAGTGAAATTTCATTAATAAGTAATGTAAATTTCCCAATGTTTTCATAGCAAAAAGGCCAAAGAAATTTTTATACGGAAAACGCTTAGCGATCCAGCATAGTTTTAAACAGCGCACCTCAAATAAACAGAATATACAGTCAAAAGTCTTTAATCCGGACTCGTCGGGACTTCGGCGATTCCGGATTATCGGTTGTTCCGGATTATAGATCATCAGTTTAAATCTGGTAAGATGGCATGCAGAAATTATAAAATTAAAAATATGAAACCATAATTTATGAAATAAAGAGCAATTATGATCTAAATTTTTATATGGAAAACTCTTAGAGATCCAGCATAGTTTTAAACAGCGCACCTCAAATAAACAGAATATACAGTCAAAAGTCTTTAATCCGGACTCTTCGGGACTTCGGCGATTCCGGATTATCGGTTGTTCCGGATTATAGATCATCAATTTAAATCTGGTAAGATGGCATGCAGAAATTATAAAATTAAAAATATGAAACCATAACTTATGAAATAAAGAGCAATTATGATCTAAACGGTATCAAAATTTACAATAAAAAAAAGCTTAATATTTATTTGTTTACTGCGCAGAAAGTTTGTAGCTTTGAGGTCCGGATTATAGATCATTCCGGATTATGGACGTCTGGATTAAAGACTTTTGACTGTATTATACAATATGTAATAGATTTAAAGTTTAAACATTTAAGAGGGGATAAGCATATAGTAACAATTTTTGCAATACAAATATGATGAAACGTGAAACATGAACGCGGAAGCATAGTAAGAACATGAAGAACGAAAAGTCATTTTAATCACGAATATTTACAAGAAATAATGTTTGATATTTACGAAAAATTTTCAAATGAACAACCACCAAGGGAAATGCAGGTATCACTCTTCGGAGGGTCAAGTGCCTCAATTTATTGAATAATAATGTAAATTTGTATATGGTTTTTACACGGTTAATAAGATCCGTGTATAATTCCTTAAATAAGCCCACCAGTGGTCGAGCGGTATAGTTGCTGAACACTGGTAGTTCGGTCCGAGGTTCGAATACGGGCTGGTTGCATGGGCGTTTTCGTGGTTTTCCCCATGTTTAACGTGTATACGAGCCAGTTTTCCTTAGAAATTCCCCACCCACGAAGGCATCCCTTCCTTTACGCAGAGTGTGCTTTGCCGTAATCGAATAAACCAAACCAAACCAAACCAATTCCTTAAATAAAATCCGTGATGCATGTATCCCATCACAACGATGACAAAGCAAATAGGGCAATTGCTGGTCATTCATTTTAACTGCTTTTCTAAATATCAAATACTATTTCTTGTAATTGTCCATGAATAAGACTTTTCCGTGTTTTTACTTAACTATGTTTGCATGTTCGCACTTTCCATTCCGGCACACACTCTACTACGAAAATTGTTACTTTTGCTAATTTTATCGCCTTTAAAATTGTGATCATCTGTTCTGTTACACCCTGTTAATTTTAACAAAGTGCGTAAACCACATTTGGTGTTATTATCGCTTAAAACAAATATGCCAAATTTCAAATTGCACCAATATGTAAATTCATGTATATCTTACAAAATTTTGAATGAAAAACTCTAATTTTTTTGAAGGTGTGCCTAGAAATACATCAACTTTAAGATGAGATTAAAAATTTACAAAAAATTTTTCGAAAAATTTGCAAAAAATATTTTTAAATAAATCATAAAAAATATGCGAATTATATTTGGATGAAGCCTAAATTTCGAACTCTGGAAGAAGGAATCAAGTAAATTTAATTAAAAAAAGAGATGTGAATAAATATATATCTAATTCAATGAGCATTGAGGAGCTAAAATTTTGAGAGTTAATTTTTTAAAAACTACTCGTACGAGTTTTACAAAAACTTAGCAGTTTGGCATAATTTGAGTCGTAGACTCGAAATATGGAAAAAAACTGGCATGTCATTTCAGAAAAAATACGATTTTGGGTCAAAATACCTGCATTAGAAAAATGCTATATATAAATCTAATACATATCCTAAATCGTGCTTTCAAGACATGAAAATCGCAAGCTGAATTTCGTCAATCGGCTTACTATTGTTAAGGAATATTCTTTGATATCGCCAAGAGATGGCGTTAGAAGTCCATCTATTGGCTTACTTAACCCTTCCCCTTCTGAACACGTGACTTAAAATTTTATTCTTCTTGAAGGTGGAATTCGATACACTACGCAATAGAATTCGATTTAGATTCTTTGATGGAACTATTCAGTTCTTGCTTTTTGAGCCTTACTATTCGATTCAGGCATTTTAGCCTACATTGTATATATGTAAAATATTAAGTTAAATTAAAATTTATGTAAAACCTTTACAGGCCATGCATCTCATTGTGGATTATGAGTGATTCGAAATTTGATCTACAACGTTTCGTGTTTCACTATAACGGGAGATATAGGTCTCTACACCGCGGTGTACATCTGAAAATGTTACTGTTGATGCGGCGAGCAGGGATTTTGAAAAGACGAAAAGAAAAAGGAATTCAGTGATTGTCAGGATTGTAAAAACTGAAACGTCGGCCGTAATCTTACGTATTTGTTAGTATTCAACGGTGAGGTTTAATTACGGGCAAATTCAGTTAGTTATCTTTGTACAGCTTCGGCTAAAGTTTAGATAGTTAGAATTAGTGTAGTTTCTTATTTTCCAGCTTAAGTTAAAGACCAAGTGGAGGCTTTCCTGTAAGCCCAAGGAGGGGCCGACTGTCATTATTTCTTTGAGTGAATAAAAGGGTATTTTAATCCTTCTTTGCACTTATATTTTATGCAGTAGTAAGGAGACATATGAGAAATAGTCGCTTGACACTCCCATAAAAGTTCTAGCAGCCAAGGACAATTTTATACAGCATTAAGTTGCTATATCAGGATCTTTGAAGACAGCATGAAACTATGATTCATTGGGTTACAGCCCATGTTGCAGTTGCTGGTAATGAGAGGGCCGACGTGTTGGCCAAACAGGCTGCACTATGTAATGCCAGGAAGAGACATGATGTCCAGCCTTCAAAAACAATTACCCATACAAAATTGAACAATTTTTTATTTTAATCTGTGGAAGCAAGACTGAAATGATTCAGTTAGGAAAAAAGATTATCTCAAGTTTATTGAATTGAAAATGAAGTGCCAAATAAGAAATAATATTGACGTGGATCAAATTATTACTGGGTACCGGTGCTTCCCGGGTAACCTATGCCGAAATAAACTAAAGAACAATGATTTATGTTTAACTTATAAAAAAAAATTGGTGATGCCAGACACCAAGATGATTGATTGTCTTTTGACCTGTCACGTGGGGGAAAAATTCAATTTTGTTAAACAACTTGACTCGTCAGAAGTTTGCAAAAGAATTCATATGTTTTCCTAATAATAATCGCGTTAAAGTGGGAATTCTTGTTTGATTTTTTTTTTACTTTTTATGTTTTGTCTGTGCTTTATTTGTATTTATTTAACCCTTTGTCTTTTTTTTATTTACTTAACATTTGCATTATTTTCTTTTATATTATTTTTAGTTTACTCTTTCCTTTCATGATGTCTGAGGTTCAATTGTTTTATCGCATCGGTTGCTTGTTTTTTGTTTCATTTTTATATATTTTTTGTTACTTGAGCCAATGTAATTGTTGTGCTTGGTTTTCCAAGGGGGGGCTGTTTTTTCCTTATTTTTAATTCTTTGTTTTGCGTCGCTTTATGGAGGTACGGCTGGGTAGCTGGATGTTCTCGTTTGTTGTTTCAACTGGCACATGTTAGTCATAAGACCCTTGTGGTTAGGTGAACTTAGGCTGCGCCCTCAATTAACCTTATAACCTAACTCAATTCTTGCAAGAAACACAGCGAAACACCCCTCGTGCCCTTATATCCCTTTCACAGTCACAGCTCCGCAGACACCTACATGTATGCTTA